ACGAAGATCAGTCGGCGCCAGCGTTGTCGTTGACGTAATGCAAAACATGTATGAAACAGGTCTTTCGTATTTGCGCGTCTTGAAGCATTCGTTAGTATCATTCGTGTAACTAAAAGGAACCGCAAAATGCCGCAGCTACTTTTGGATTCTCCAACTGCAGTAAGAAAGGCTGCATCAAATGCACCAAGAAGCAACTCGTTCCAACGCTCAAATTTCTCGATGAGAAATTGAACCCAAATAATTCATTGATTATTGTAATACGTAAAAGTCGCGTTTTCAGTTTTCAAGGCAAATTTAAACGCGAGCATTTCGTTGAAGAGAAAAATTGCTCTCTGAGTGATTTCCAATAGTTTAAATTATTTCGCTTATAATTGGAACGCAAAAAGCGACACTTATATTGTTATATATACTATACGATACGTATCAGACAATATTAAGCCAAGTTATGATACTACATTCAATATACAAAATCATTCTTTCTTCTTTTTGTCGCATTCTTAACGATTACCGACCACGGTGCGGCTCTTAGGCACGTGTACCGGACAGATTTTCGATTAGCTTTCCTCGAAAGGCGAAATCTCTTGCGCGAGAACCGTGTCCAGAGATTGTTCTCGCTACCAAGGAAACTTCGATTTCCTTGACAAGACCGCGACAAGATCTCGCGACAGGCTCCGCTTCGTAAGAAGCGCGTTCGGCCGCCCTTAAGAGGCTCTTTGATGTCCCATAGAGCGGGCCGACCTCGCTGAAACATTCACGAGGCAACCGCTGTTCGCCGGTTAGCTATTCATGGTGTATTCGCGGCGAACAGGGTCTCCTGAATCAGAAGCTGGCAGAGAAACCGTGTCCGCGCGGTGACTTTCATAAGGCTTTATTGCGAGTCGCGAGGCCTGTGGTCGTTGCCGAATCGAGGAGGGCGAGCGGACGAGTGCTTAAGCACTGACGACAGTTTGAGAGATCCTCCCGGCATCCCGTTTGCGGCTAATGTACCCATTCCTCGCCCTTCGGACCCTCCCTGCGTCCTTTTCTTCTCGAGCCGCGACTTCCTCGCCGCGGGAAATCCGCGTTCCGAGAAACGTTTCTGCGTTTCCCTCCCGGCGTTCTTTTCATACGTTCTCCCTTCTCTCTCTCTCTCTCTCTCTCTCTCTCTCTCTCTCTTGGTTCTCTTCCCTCTCGACGCCAGATGCTACTAACTGCGCCCTCCTCTGATGAGATCCTCGTCTCCGCTTGGGCTGCCCGGCTTTCTTCCACCCTGGCCGGCTTTCTACTCAGCCGTCTTCGCGAGTAAGGGCTGAATTCTGACGCGACTCTTCAACCCAGACCGGATCGAACGTCTCGCGCGTTCGAAGCGCCCCACGTTCTTCATCCCGCTCCGAGGCAATCCTTGCTTACACGTTCTCCCAGGAGTTACCTTTCATTATACGACTGAAAGGCCGCCGACATGAAGCATTACGAAATCGACGAAACAGGGAAACCCGAATCGTTCGGTCTCGCCGGAAATTCTTGATATTGCGGCCATGAATTCGTACCTGTCGTACGTCGTTCTGATCCTCTTTCCGATATCCTCACATGTAATTCCGAGGGAGGGCTTACCGGGTACTCATTGGAAACGGGTGAGATGACGTGTCCCTACCAGTTCGTCTCGGTACGTGGATACCGAAGCAACGATAGACTGCGGTTTTTATGCATTTATGGCAGAAATTAGTAGCCGAAATACAAGTCTGCGAAGACTTTGAAGGAATTTAAGGATGCTGGCATGTTATTTTGTATGCATATTATATTATATGCATTATATTATATGCATTTAATTTTGACGTTATCGACAGAAGAAATACATTGTTATCTAATTTCTGTATAACCTTGACACAGAAATATTTTATATTTTGCGTAAAGATACGCGGTCTACTAATTACACACTACTTCTTTCTAACATAAAATATATGTACAGTAATGTCTCCTTAACTGGCGCTCAGATTGTGCACAAGAATGGACAATTTGGGAAGAGGAGATACGATTATTCGAGCCTTGCGGCTCGTTTTTATAATTGTTAAAAATCGGTAACTATAAAAACGAGTCGCAAGGCTCGAATAGTCATATCTGTTCTTCCCAAATTGTCCATTTCTGTGGACAATCTGAGCGTCAATTAGAGAGACATTACTGTATTGAAGAAACTATTAAAATGCAGTAAATTCTTCCTAATTGACACTCAGCTTAGAAACGAAAATGGACAATTTGGGAAGAGGAGGTACAATTCATCGAGCCATGCTGCTCTTTTTTATAGTCGTTGACGATCGGCAACTATAAAAATAAGTCACGAGGCCCGAATAGTCGTATCTTCTCTTCCCAAATTGTCCATCTTTGTCCACAATCTGAGCGTCAATTAGGGAGAATCTACTGCACTTGCTTTTTCAAAACGCAAACGAACGCGATCATGCTTGTCCAGTAGCGGGGGCAGTGTTCGAATACGATGAAGGAGAATGTAAACTATCGAGGATCGAGTGCTGTCGGAAGAGCGTACCGTAGAACGTTTTACGGTACGAATCGCTCGGGCGCCGAACATGTGTGTAGTTCAATTGCCAATGGTCACCTAAACGAACGATGGAATTCTATCTCATTCGGGTGAACAGCGTTGAGGAGCATTTTATCAGATACGCGAGCACGTCCCTCGGCAGCGAAGCGAGGCTTCAAAGAGAGACGGTTCCCGGGGAAATTGCAATTTTCCGGCGTGGGCAGACTCGCGGAAACGCGGCACCGGCTAATTCGGAAAGCAGAGAGAGAAAGAGAGGGAGAGAGAGAGAGAGTGAGAGAGAAACGAGGCCCGATACGCGACGCCGCAGCCGTGATTTAAGTCTCCCCGGAATTAGCAGGGTAGCCCCATTAAGCCGGCCCGAGTCGGCCAGCTCCTCTCGTTGACTCGGCTCGCGGCCTGGCGCGGCGTAGAAACCGGCTGAAAAGTATTCCGTGGTTGACCCCCGGGACACAGTATGAATTGCTCTTAAAGCCGAGCCTCGACCCGTATATTAACCTCTGTTTTAATTAATCACCCGGCGGTGCGCGGCGACGCCCGTGCTCGCCGCACGGAACGCGCCTGTGCGCGCACAAGGCCGAATTTCGCGGCCGTTATTGCCCGGCCCGGAATTCCGTCGCTCAAACTACCCTCCTCCGCCATCTCCGCCACCTCCTGCTCCACCTCGTGCTGCTGCCGCCGTTGCTGCAGTTCCGCACAGCCTTCGCGCGGAAATTTATTCCGCGCCGGAAACTGTTTATGCAATAAGGGGGGCCGATCAAATAACATGAGTATTTATCGCGCCGGTTAACGAGAGAGCGATCCATCGTCCGCGCCATAATTGACACGAAACGCGCCGACCGCTGCTTGTCGGAACATCCCGACGTTGCAACGCCATTTTTCCTAGCCTAAAGGGCCTGTCCGCTCCGGACAGCTGACGCATTCAACGTTTTTCTTCGCAACGATGCGAAACGCTGCGATCCGGAAACATTGCGATCACTTTCGCCGGTCTCTTTACTATCTAGAACAGTCGATCAAAGTTTCAAATGTTCTCGATACACGCAGTCACGTGCCGAAGCTGCGACTGCGTCTAAATATAGTAATGTCTCTCTAATTGACGCTCGAATTGTCCACGAAAATGGATAATTTTGGAAGAGAAGATACGATTGTTCGAGCCTTGTTGCTCGCTTTTTATGGTTATCGATCGTTAACAACTATAAAAACGAGTCGCAAGGTTCGAATAATCGTATCTCCTCTTCCCAAATGGTCCATTTCTGTACACAACTTGAGCATCGGTAAGAGAGACATTACTATACAGTAAGGGAGACATTACTCTATAGTACTGTATAGTAATGTCTCCCTTACTGACGCTCAGATTGTCCATAAAAGTGGACAATTTGGGAAGAGGAGATACGACTATCCGAGCCTTGCGGCTCGCTTTTATAATTGTTGACAACTTATAACTATAAAAGCGAACCGCAAGGCTCGAATAATCGTATCTCCTCTTCCTAAATTGTCTATTTCTGTGGACAATCTAGGCGTCAATTAAAGAGACATTACTGTACCGCGAAAATGACGTTTCTCCGACCAGTTGACAAAACTGGCGACTTTCCTCAAGAATAATAGGAGTTTGACTTATCGTCGTTCTTATCTATATCAAAATCATTAAATTAAAATAAAGAAGGGAGAAGGTACACAGGATAAATTGGGTTGGAGTAGTTAGAGTAGATTAGGGTGCGCGGAAGGGTGAGGAGGGTGCGCGGAAAGCAGCGGCACGAGGATAAGGAAGATTTAGAACGGTAAGTCGAGCGAAGAAATTAAATAAATGTAAATATTTGCCTCCGAAAAGTGTCGCACGATTGAAGCCGCAAGTACATCAGTTTCCGCATTAACCGCAACGTTCTCGCTGAAGCAACGCTCAACTGCGTTGACGCAGTTGTTGGCCCCCTCCCCCCTAATCCTCGACCGGAGGACGTTTAATCCCTCTCGACCGTCTAAGAATTAATTCCCTCCCTCTGCGAGGGAAGTTTCGGTCCTCGAAGGCGAGGCTCGAGGAAATACGAGCGCGTCGGTCCGCGACACGCGCTTATCAATCTTTGACGGATCAGGAGGGGCTCGGAGGCGCCGCTTAAGTCCACGGTATCCATTAAACTCTCGTCAGCCGTGGCACTGCGTGTCGGCTATGGACTTGGGCAACTTTGATGGAACTTTTCCTCCTCGCAAGAAAATTAGATGACGTGAAAGTCGTTCCTGCCCTACGCCCGGAACGTCGCTCTTCCCGGCACGGTGTCGGCTGACGCTCGGATTATGAATATTTCATTTTCTTTTTGTTGCGAAACATCGGCGCAGACGGCCGACCGACGAAGGTCGTTCATTGTTGAGAAGTCGCGCTGGTTCGGCGGCGGTGGTCTCGTCGAGACGCCGCGGCCGGAGTGGAAGAATTTTTGCGAAAGGAGACGGCGGCCGGTTAATTAATGACTCCTATTTTTCTTTGCAGCTCTCGGAGCTCGAGCAGCGGGTGCTGGAAGCGGAGGGCCGCGCCGACGAGGCGGAGGACAAGGTGAGAATAAATTATAATCGCGGTGTTCTCGCGTTCGAGCGACGGTTTCGCAAGCCGGCGACGAAGGATTTTCCACGATAGCGACCGCGTCGCTACACATCGTCTCGCTGCATCGTTCGAAGACGATCGAACACGACGAAAGCGGATCGATGCACCGCGCGGTTTAACCAGGTTGCGACACCGTTCCAGATCGGCCGGTCGATTCGCTCTAAGCAATTACGACGGCTCGCAATTAACGGGACACACCGGTATCGTTAGTTAACGCTCGGCCGACCGGCCCGAAGACATCAAGGATAAATAATTAATTTAGCGAGTGGTAATGACGCTGCTCGCGAGAACACCTCCGGTTTAATGACTCGGCCGAGACGCGCGCGACCGAGCCAGGTGTCCCATTAAATCGTCTTTCATTGCGCCGCTTTCGAAAACCCATTCGCGTTTCACTGTTTCCAATTAGAACGTTGATTCGCGAGGCATCTCCTCCGGCGGAAATCCCGCGGAACGGTCTCGTCTGATCGGATCTAATAAACCGGCCGCGGTTTAAAAGAGCAGTTAAGATCGCACCCCTAATCGATCCTGCGGCGTGCTCGATGAGCTCCTCCCGCGCGGATAAAAACGGGAACGAGGCTACACGCGAGAATCGATACTGCGTTACCGACCCCTCTGAAAAATCAGGAACTGCACCCTCCGGCGAGCCGTCACCCTTTACCGACTGCCACCCTGCTTTCCCGCGCGTAATACACCCTCGAATATACCATCTACCACCTACCGTCCGTGGGCAGACGTATTCCCTTCCTCCCTTCTTGGACTCGTTGGCTGATCATCGACGGCGTTACCTTCGTTCTTCCTCTACTTCTCGTTTCGCACTACGACAAACGGAAGGTTTCACTCCGCGGAACGAAAGGACGAACAGAATGTACACCGTCGAGCAACGCAAAATCGAGATATCTCTGCCTGGCGTCCACGGTAAAACGAGACTCGAATGTCGAAATCCCGAGACTCGAGCGAGGCGAAGGAACTCGAATAAGAACGAACGAAAGTCCCCGGGCCAAGTTACCCACAGGCCAAAGGACTTTTGCGAGGACTCCGTCGGTATTCTCTCGATATCGCGGGTGTCAGGGCGCATGTTGGTTCGCATTGATTTTTGCGGAGGCGCGAGAAAGACAGACCGCCAAGACGGGAGAAAGACGGGGCCAGCTGGCTGCTCCGGAGAGGAGAGAACGGAGAAGAGGAACAGAGAGAGAACAGAGGGAGGAGCGACAATATGGCCGAGCAGCCGGCCGGCAGGACCGTCGTTTTGTTATGACCTCGAAATTCGACGGTGAAGTCGTCCGGCGTTGGTGAACCACGTGCATCCGCGGGCCGGCGTCCGCGACCGCGAGTACTCGGAACACACCGTCTTCGTGGCCTCGATCCTCGGTCCTCGTGGTCTCGATCGCGGGAACGATCGAGGGGCTGACCAGCTCGGACGCGACGTCGACATTCGAACCACCGCGACTCGAGAATTATGGATCCCCGCAGGTGACATCGATGAAAGGTAAACCGAAACTCGCCCTGCTGCCTCGTATTCTCGCGATCGATCGTCTCCTGACGCGATTAACGTCTCGCGAACCGCTTGAATCTTTAATGGCTCCTCCGAGCATTCTGCTGCCCGAACACGTCACAAGCTGCTTGTCATCTAGCCCGAGTTTAGCCGGCGTTTATAGGCTCGTTCGCTGCTACCTCCGACTTCCGAGATACCCACGGTAAATTATCCCGAAGTCCTGGAACCGCCGATGCTTTTCTCTCGTTTGATCGCGCGTCGTGGAATCGACTTGCTCGGTTAATTGGATAAGGATCGTAGGCTGTGTCCGAGAAAACGGCGGATCGACGATCTCGCGGAACGATCGACGAACGCGTCCTCGCGGCTCGGCGAAAGGGCGAAACGGATTTACCATTCGCGGGGCGGCTTAACGACCCGCTTTGACGGGACGTGTCGCGTATAGAATTGGACGGCAGCCAATTCATGAGTAATCCGTGTTTCCCGTGAGCACCCGCTCGCAGCGAACGAAATAAAGGCGCAGCGCAGACGATCCTTATGCGCTCCCCGCGGCTCCTTTAAATATTTCAAAGCCGCTGCGGCGCGGCAGGCTCGCTCCGATGTTGCTCTTTCGCGTCGCCCTTCGCGACCCTGACGGCAACCCCCTTTTTATGAATCGATCCGCTTGTCGAGCGCTCTTTATCGAGCAGTCACTCTCCAATTAAATCATTCGAAAATACACCAAGCCCTCCTCGACTTTGCTGCGAAAGCATCGAAGCGTCGCGCGACTTTATTCTTCGAAAGCGAAGACGGTTTTCGATCAATTTTCTCCGAGAATCCGTAAACGTTTACAATAAACGTTTCTGTTCGTATCCTGCGGATAGTCCGCTAATTTCGTAATGCGGGCTGATCGTGTACGTCGCCGACGATCCAGCGCAATTCGTTGATCCGCTTCTCACGCGTCCGCCGGTCGTTGATCCATTTAGCCTCCGCCGCAGCCGCGTGGTCGTCAGATGTCTCTTTTTTTTTCTGCGGCTGCCCCATCCCCCGAGGAATCGCGCGGTTGAATGGCTGTTTCTCTGCGTGTGTACGTGCACGTGAACGGACCCGTTTTGGCGGGAAGCCAGCGCACGGTTCGACGCCGCTAGGGCGAGGAGGACCGGTCTTTGTCGCGTGCAGGCGCACGTGCGCCGGTCCAGCCTAAAAAGATAAAGGGACCGGTTGTCTCTGACTCCCGCGGCAATCGACCCGTTCATCCTTTCTACAGCGACCAAAGCTGCCTTCCGCGCGGCTGCACCGAGACAATTAGCATCGGCCGCAACAAAAGTTTCCCCCGAAAAGCTTGAACGCTACCGGAAAGTTCCAAGTTTGCGATATCAATCGCCGGAAGATCTTTCGACGACGAAAGTCGATCCGAGGCCGCGAACTACATATCTCGAAGCAGAGTTACGGAAAGGGCTGATCTCACGGCTCGTGATATTCGCCTAGGTCGTTGAATCATCCCCGCGCCCGATAATCGCCGATTATCCCCCGGCCCGGGACGATAAACCGAGAAAGCTGTGGGAAGCAAGATAAACCAGGAACGTGGAATCCGACGTGCGGCTCGGGGGAATTCAATTATCCCGTGACGGAGCTATTTCTGGTTTCGTATCGCTTTGCTTTCAAGCCTGCGCTCCGGCAGAAGACGTTCGTCGAATCGATAAATCTCGAGACGCGGTTCAAAAATCGCCGGTCACGTTCGACGCCGCGCTGAACCGCCGGTTCGGGTCGTCGGCCTCCTCGCCGCCGGAGAGGAGAGCAACCAGCCTCTCCCCTTTCTCTCTGCCGAGAGAGGGAACTTGTCTTCGGTCTCCGCGCCGGAGGAAAACGTGGTCGCGGCCGAGGACGGGGCGCAGCGCAGGCCTGCGAGAGATCGATGAGTCCTCGTCTCCTAACGGCGATCTTGCTCTTGTCCTGGCTCTCCCCGCGCGGGGATCCTAGAGGGAGGATAGTTTGAGGGTGGTCGGGGGTAGCAGCGACAGTTTCGCAGTCCGTGTGCCGGCTGTCAGGCCGGTCGGCTCGCTTTGGGGTGGCGCGTGCACACAGGAGTCCGCCAGGACCTCTACGAATTCTGCCATTGGCCGCGAGCCAACGTGACTCATCGCCTCTGGGAAACGGAAAGAGAAAGAGAAAGAGAAAGAGAGAGAGAGAGAGTTTACGTGCATCGGTTGTTCCGTTTCGTTCAGTTCTGTTCGATCTACGGCGTCGCGCGTACCCTGCTCTTCTACCTCGTCTTCTACTACCGTAGAAGAACAGAGGAAAACCGAAGCGTCGCGAGACCGCGGCCGGCTGCTGGGAGTGTCCTCGAGGCTCGGCGGAGTGTCCTCGAGGGAGAGAAGCCACGCGGCGAAGGGTTTAAAGGGATCCTCCGGCACTCGGAAGCCACGGATCGGCTATCATGGCCACTCGTAGCCTCGGTAAGCCTCGAGCATCCCGTCTCTCCTCCCCGGGGAAAACTGGATCAACCTGGAATCCGTGTGCACGCGTTTTAAAGGCGCGACGACCATGCTTCGGGGGTCTCGTGGGCTCGTTGCACCCTCCGAGGGGGTGGCGACATGGCCGCTCGACGACGCTCGACGACGCTGCACGTGGCGGACCGTGATCTCATACGGGAACCACCGTCTTCTCTCCTCCAAGACTTCCGCTGCCAGCCGCCCGCGAACCTTCGGGGAACGTGGAATTATCGTTCGCCTGGCCAATCTTCCCTCCAGAGCCTCGTCGTCGAGCGACGTGCTGACTAGTTCATTAATTAACGAAGCCCGAGTAGTGAGCCGAGACTCCCAAGGCTGGCGTTCATAGGGTTCTCAGTTGGGAATCGGAGTCACCCTTAGGGAGAAATTACACGGCGATTCTGCCGCAGGGTATCGCTTCATGATTCCCACCCCCCTCCTTCTTGGTCGTGGCCGACGGTAGTTTCTTCCCGAAAGAACTGTTTCGTCTACGTTCGTGCATTCTACAATTCGTCCGAATTTGTGTACAATTTCATCCTCGATGAAACCAACGGGAAGCTGCAATTGCACGAGCACTTGCGTCCTCAGGATCCTCGCTGTGTTCTCGAGAGTATTGCTTCAACTAGCGTCCGATTCCATCCTCGACGTTGCTCCTCGCCGGTAGAACGTCTCCAATGGCACGTCCTATCAGTCCGAAACGGTCTCCTCCCTCCAATCCGAAAGGAAGACGAGCCCTTTCCCTTTCGAAGCTATAGACCGACATCGGGGTCGTATCCTAACAGCGTCTATTCCAGGGAGCTAGGCGACGAAGCCAAAGCGGACGCACGCTAAAGCGTCGCTGGGTCTCTCTGTCTAACCCTTTCAACGACGGCCTCTCCTTTAAATACCCGGAAACCCAATGAAACAGTGAGCGAGGAGAGAGCGTCGCGTCGGCGGCGCGGCTCTGGAGGGGGTCGTTCCTGGAGAGCTCGTGGGAAAGAACGGCAATGAACGTGAAAACGAGCGGGTACGCGAGGGTGATCGATATAACTCGCGGCGAGAGCACATGCAGGCCAGGGGTCGGGAGGAAAACACTCGGCCATAGGATTTCCCCGTGCGCGTATTGATTTTCTCGATACCGCTCTCCCCTTTTGGTAGTGGACGTGGCTCGGCAGCGTGCACGTCGTCGCCGCTTACGTACGCTCTACGTGCCGTCTGCACCGGTGTGCGTGTCGGTGAACGCGATATCGATTTTTGACAGCTGCTGCGAAAACGAGCACCGTCGTCGGCCAGCGCGCAGCGTCGTGTGTCGGAGAGTATAGAGAAAGGAAAAAAAAAGGGGTGCACGAGGGGTTCTGTGTGCGCCCCGTCGCCTAACCCCGCGCGGTCACGCGTTTTCGACCGGACGAACGCTTGTTTATTCGGTGCCGCTGTCGCTGGCACGCCGCGATGACGCGCGTGCTCCTCGCGCCTTGAGTCGAGAAACGTCGACGTCGGTTCTGCGCTCTCGAGGATCATCGAGAGGGAGAGCGGGTTCTCGCGCGGTCCGCGCCATGGAAATCCGATGACCGAGTCGACGGCTAATCCTAGAAAGCCTCTGGGACTCTCGCAAAATCGTCTCACGGTAGCCAAGTTCGATGGGAGATCTCCGGGCTCGACGCATCGACAACGAGACGTCCACAGCCTTCGCGCCGTCGTTGTCTCGCGAACGTGTTCGGACGTCGATGCGTCGAGCGTTGTGCTGGCGTCGGAGCCATCGTAGCTTGCACTTCGATGATGCTGTTTCGCTTTGCCTCAGGTACGGATGATGGAGGAGCGGCTAGTGAAGGGTGAATACTGCTTGAGCACATCCGGCGTTGGTTCTCCACCGCATTCGCTGCCGTCGACTTCCGGTACGCAGAATGACAAGATCGAGGACGTCCACTGCGCCTGCATATCCAAGCTAGAGACACAGGTCGAGGAACAGGTGAGGACTTGCTTCTTGAAAGCGCGTTTAATGCGAGCCAGCAGCTGAGACTGGTCGCCGCTGAAAACTTCCCCGCCTGTTTGCCTTCACTCACTCTCTCTTTCTCTCTCTCTCTCTTAAACAACCTCGCTGTGTTGACTTTGCAAGAACGAAGCGGGGTGTTCGGGAAGTGCAACACCTCGCGAACACTCCGCGGGCTTGTTATCGGCGCGAACAGGCTTCGCGGTATCGCGCTGATAAGCGTCGTCGCGACGGCTCTGATTAATAATTGCTCGCAGAGGCAGCTCCGACTTCAAGACGCGAGGCAGGTCGAGGCGAAAGCCGCCAGAATCAAGGAATGGGTGACCAATAAGCTGCGGGAGCTGGAGCAGCAGAACCAGCATCTGCGGGAACAGAACAACAAGTGCAACCAGCAGCTGGAGCTCCTGAGGAACCACATAACGAACATCGGCCTGAAACCACCTGTGAGTGTTCCCATACGGGTAGAGACACGACAGCTGACGCACCGTGGCCCGTCGCGGTGCGTGCGGGACCCTCGTTAGACGGACCTTCCAGAGCCGGGTGTCCACTATCGCGTGACGTGCTTCCGTCCATTTCGGATCTTTTCCTCGACAAAAATTCAATTTCGCAGATCGCACGAGGAAGATAGATCGCCGGGACACCGGTTCGGCTCGGGCTCGCGTGAAAATATGCAAAGGGACACTTCGCGATGTTCGTAGCATTTTCGTAAACCGCTTTTGCGAACTGCATCGACGATTCCGGAGTTCGGGGTGACCTTGACTCGAGGTCACCCGCCAGTACCACTTCGAAGTCGCTTTTCCTTCTTCGTCCGGATGCGACGAAGTATGACGTCCTCTCTTAAAACTGTAAACCGACCCTCGTGCAACCCTGCAGTCAAGGGTTCCGCATCGTTCCGTTTCAAATTGTTCGAATTGTAAGAAGTTTTTCGTACGAAATGAATCGGATGAGTTTCTTAGTTCGAACACACATTTTGTAATCAAAACAGCAAGACCGAAACAGACTGAACAGCAGTCTAAATGAATTCGGTCTTGTAATTTTGATAAAGGGGCGCATGTCGGACATCTTTAGGGCTCGGTAGGTTAAACGATCCTTCGATTAAATTATTAAACTTGTAAAGGCGGTATTAAATGAACGATTGACCTTTGCAACGGTTGGGTTTCAGGCACCGACGAGGGCGTCGCTGTCCCTGGAGGTGGATCCCACGTTGCGCAGACGATCCGAGAGCCTCGAAGGAACGCCGCAGGCGGTTCCGGAAAGCGTGCAGACCGCGGTGGCGGAGCCTCAAGCCGGCACCAAGCACCGAAGACACCTGTCCGCTTGCGGGACCATCCAGCGCGGTATCCCGACCACCAACATGGACTCGAGGTAGAATCCTTTGCCCGTGACCGCGGCACGCTTCTTTTCTTGCTTGGCGATCGCTTCAGCTGCCTTAACAGCCGGCGCGGCGCATAACGCTCTCTCGCGTAAATGTATTTCGAATCTCCTTGGGAGGTCTCACGACGTGATAGCGGCGCCCGACTCTCGAAACTGTGGTACCCTGTAACGTCCTGAGACTTCCTGCGGGGATCTGTCAACCCGTGTACCTCTTCTCGACGATGTCACTGTGACAGCGGATCGAAATCGATTGGACGCTTCCAACGCTGCTTCGCGCTATCACGAGTCTCTCTCTCTATCTCTCTCTCTCTCTCTCTCTCTCTCCCTTTCCTCGCGGATCGACGCGGGAGCCGGGGAAGAAACGGTCCTTGGACGTTCAATTGATTTCGAGCCGACGCTGCAGCTTCCTCTTTTCTTTTCCGTATGATCTATCGCTTGTCCGGCGTCAACTGAAAGCGCTAACGCTGATCGCAACCAGGCTGGTTCAATTAGTCCTCTGCTTTATGCTTGCCGTTTCTTTCTCCGCCACAGTCTTCTGTCCGAGGAGCTCGCTGCAGCTGTCGAGAACCTGGTGATGCTTCCGAATATCCCCGGAGTCTCGGAGACCAGCAGGGACAGTGGTAGCTCCGAGGCTGTCCACGATTATGCCGAGATCTACACGCCGAGCAGAGAGGGCATGAATTGGACGCAGAGCGCGCAGGGACCTCGACCTCCGACACCACCGCTGCACCGGTTTCCGAGCTGGGAGGCCAAGATATATCAGGTACGGAGACACTGTTACGGTACCGTCAACATACGGTCGAATTATCGAACCATGTTGCTTCGATGGTTGCGCGTCCAGAGACCCAATGGACAGTGCGTTTTTTATATTTGTCTCGGGACAAGATAATCGAGACGCGACGACTGGAAGACGCGCGTCTTTGGCGATAGTACGCGTTCCGTTCGATAACAAGAGCTTCGGATAAATTGGCAGAGATCTTCGCGAGCATTTGCCTATGAGTCACACCTGTTGTCGAGTTCTCGGGGAACGGAATAGATCGGCCGCGGATTCCGGAGCGAACGAGCGATGCGGCGGAGCGTGCGCGCCAAGTTGTTGCAATTTGTAACGAAAGAAACCGGGCGCTCGCCGATTCCGTAGGTAGCCGATGGCGGGCTTGGCATCGGTCCACCGACCAACGAGGAATCCGCGCCTTCCACGATGACCAACACGACCAGCTCGTCGAAACATTCCCAGGCAACAGGACACAACTTGACTGCGCACAATTCCCAAGGCTACTGCGATATTTCGGTTCCAGTGTACGCGACGGTCAAGGGTAGGTTCCTCGTCTTCGAAACGCGTCCGCCACCGGAGCTTCGTGTCCCGACGATGCTTTCATGTTCCAGGACGAGCCAGTCAGATCAGGTCGATGCCATTCGGCGACAGTTCCGACGACAGCTCGGACGGCGAGGATCACCCGAACCAGACCGAGACCAACACCAGAATCACCAACAGTTCCTCGGACAACACGGACTCGTCGCTCGGCAGCGGAAGCAGTCCCTCGAAGAGCGTCAAGACCACCAGCAGCCTCAGCCCCGCCAAGAGGAGCTCCAGCGGATCGCCCAGCAAAAGCGTGAAGCGTGGTAAGTCTCTTTGAGAAAGCATCTGTCGAATTTTATTCTTAGTCCACGGAGTCTCTAATCCTCCTTGATGGTATCCGTCAACCCGAAGATTGGTTCTAACTGTAACATTTGCAGACACCTCGCTGGAATCCGGCTTGTCCGAGGACTACGCGATACCGCCGGACGCTTTAAGCTCAACTTCCCTGGAGTCCAGCATGCCCAGTCTCCTGATGCGCGTTTCCGGCGAGAGTCCGAAGCGGCAAGAGTCGCTGGAGAAGACTGGTCACCTGGCGAAGCTCGGAGGGAAGCTGAAGACGTGGCGGAAGAGGTGGTTCGTGCTAAAGAACGGGGTGCTAACTTATTGGAAGAGCCAGAACGACGTGAACAGAAAACCTCAGGGTCAGATCGTGTTGGACGAAGTGTGCAGGTAATCGTCTAGCAATCCTCTAGCAGCTTCTTTTCGGTTTTGCGAACGGATGTACGAAGTACTCTGATTCCTCGATAGGATAAACAGGGCAGAGGGTGCCGCCACATTCGAAATAGCTACCGGCAAAAAGACCTACTACCTAACCGCGGACTGCATCGCCACGATGGAGGATTGGATCAGGGTTCTGCAGAATGTACAGAGGCGGAACGCGACGAAACTTCTGCTCAGCAAAGAGGACAACAAGCCGACGATACAGGGCTGGCTGACCAAGGTGAAGAACGGGCACGCAAAGAAGTGCTGGTGCGTCCTCATTGGAAAAATGTTCCTTTACTTTAAGTGCCCTAACGATACGGTGAGTCCTCTACTTTTTTGAATCTTCGATTCGTTGGGTTGTCCAGTTCGTTGAGTGAAATATGTTTTTTCATTAGAATCCTATTGGACAAATAAACATGAGGGACGCGAGGGTGGAGGAGGTCGAGCACGTGTCCGACAGCGACAGCGAGGAAAGAGACGCCGAGTGTCCCCACGAGAGGACCATCGGTATCTTCCCAACCCACCAAGGCCCTACCTATTTGCTGATGCCGCATAAACAAGACAAAGACAACTGGTTGTACCATTTGACGGTGGTCTCCGGAGGCGGGCCCAGCGCCGGGACTCAATACGAGCAGCTGGTGCAAAGACTGATGGAAACCGACGGTGACTCTAGTTGCGTTCTTTGGAGACACCCGTTGTTGCTCCATACGAAAGAGAACATCACTAGCCCGCTAACTAGCTTAACATCCGAGGCCTTGCAGACCGAGGCTATTAAGCTATTTAAGGTCTCTAAACAAGTCTTCTAAACAACGTTGATTTTTCTCACAAGCAACTGACCAGACGTTTCTTCCATAGGCATGTCAGTTGTTCATGTCGGTGGCCGTGGAGCAGGCAGGCATAGATTATCATGTGGTACTAGCGCAAAATGCGTTGCAGCAATGCTTAGACCAGCCTGAGCTGCAATCTGAATTCATCTGTGCATTGGTAAAGCAGACAAGTCGTCACACGCAACACCGTTTGGGCGTACAGGTAAAAAAGGCCGCCAGACTTGTGTCGCTGGGTACTGCGCGCGTTGTAAGTCCTGCTTATTGTTTAACAAACACTCTGAACCCTGTACCATTTTCACAACCAACGGTCGATGCGCACTATCAAGCAACAAAAAAATAATAAATATGTCAACCTCGAACGCGTGCACCTCCTCGCCGTTCACCAAACTTCTCGTACCCTCGGGGGTTCAGTTTGGTGAGCGTTCTATTGTACGGGGTGCACTATTCGACGGTTCAATTGGAATAATAGTCTGATGACTCTAGAGTCGAATGATCTCGCGTTCGTTGATTCCGAGTCGAAGAAATGGTACATTGGGTACGCTTAGTCAAGTATTATACGGATAATCTTGTTAACGTAGAACGGTGAACTGTGTTTGGTTTTGCCTTTTTCCCTGTTGTTTTTCTGTATTCTCGAGAAGACTAACTGATGTTAATAACAACCACTTGTTCGTTCGTTCGCTCGTCCGTGCGAACTATAATACTTGACGAAGTCCTTTTAACAAATGAGAAAGAATTTTTTAGTTTTAACATTCATTCACATTTCATTTTCATTTGCTGCTTTACGTGTGCTCTTCCTAGGCTACTCTGAAAATCGCATGCCGTTCTCTTCCAATTCTTCGTTGATTCTGTTTCTTAGGCGGAACGTTAAAAGTTCACTTTCTTTCTATTTTGTTGCATTTCAGTTTCTACATCGTTCTCTTCTGTTCCTTTAAATAATATTCTTTTTTAATTTTTTTTTCTATTTATTTTCGATTAATTGTGTACTTTTTAATATTTATACATGAATACCCGATCACCTTACCCTGATTACCACCCTATCATGTGAGCTGAACATATTTCGACAATTTCATCTCCTTTCACGTATCGTAAATTATAATCAACAAACTAACTGCCCCGCATCCATTCATCGATCATTTCATCGATGCATCGATCACGCGGTCATGTGCCCGGTTTTTTGCGATCCGGAACGAACAGACAATTTTGAGACGATTACGGTAGACGCCCGGTTGCCTTTGTCAAAATACGTTCTGCGGCACACACACTTGCAGAATGGTATGTTGGTGTACATAAGAAACCACACACAGATAAACATCTTTTTATAGATTGATTTTTCTTTCTGTTTCCGTAACGTTTTTTTGCTGAATAGCTGATTACGATATTCTCTGTTTTGAATGCTGCTTAGAGAACTTAGTCGTTTTGATCATGCCGGTCTCATAAGACGGGTCTAATTAAGGAAACCACGGAAGCTAGAATCCTTGCAGATTCGAACACGTCCGTTGACAAAAAAAAGATGTATTAATCGAACGAGACTCTGCGATACGAGATCGATAATGCGGCAGCATTGTCGTCGATCTGTCGTCGTGTGGAGTTTCGCAAAACGATAAAAGATACCTCAAGAAATAGAAAAGAACGCGTTTCGTTCGTTGGTGCGTTCACCAAGAACGATCGTCGAACGAAACGCTTTCGGACGGCATCGAGAGATAGATCTCGCCCGAAGACGAAGAACCGAGAAATCAAACAACGCTTCTCTCATCCACATTGTTCTTAATTCATTCGGATTGTTGACGGTCCATGCGTTTTTCTTTCTTTTTTTTTCTGTGATTAACATACATGGAGAGTTGATGCGTTTAACGGTCCCATTTCGATTGCTTTACATACTAACAGACGTATGACGTTCACGAGTGACCCACATAGTCGAGGAAAGAAAGAATTTGGTTTACCAGCCCTTTGTTGAATGAACGAGAGAGAATGATTTAGTTCTCGCGTAATTAAAAATTCAACGACCTTTGTTCAGAGGTCCGTGATCATTTTCCGATTAAGAGAAAAGAAGAAGCGAGAGCAAGCTTAAAGATCGAACAAACGATTCGAATACGAAGACAGTGGGTGCGCGGTGGTCAATTAAAAAAAGAAAAGGAAAAAAAAGAAAAAAGAAAGTAGTAGATTAGGTCTGGTTCGATCCAGGGATCTAGTAGTATGCCAGCATACCATTGCAGCAGCTCCTCCTCTGCGCCACGCAATCGCTGTTCACCTGCGATACGCAAAGTCCCGCGGCAAATGGCAGCGGTGAAAATGCGGACGCGCAATCGACGGCCTCCACTTCTCACAGTCCTCCGCTCACGCAGGGCCATTCTACGTCTACGATTCTGGACTGCAAAACTAACCCCGCCCAGTACGTTCTTATCCAGGGGTGGCAGCTGCTCGCCCTCGCCGTCTCGCTTTTCCTACCCAGGAACAATCGACTACTCTGGTACCTGAAGCTACACCTGCAGAGAAACGCCGATACCAAGTGAGTCTCATCGTCCTCGTTAACGCTTTACCCATCGGCGCTCACTTAAAAGTCCTTCAAACGTACATAATTGAAGAGCGTTCAACAGCGACAGCAATTTTACTCAAGGACCATCGAGCCGTCTTGAGTTTTAGACTTCGAATAGCTAAGGCGTTAAAATCAGTCTTCCCCGTTAAACGGAGCAGTTTTATGTTTGCCCTCAGAAGTTAGAGAACTTGAACTGTTTCTTGTTAACGATAGGACGGAATGCGGCAAGTACGCAGCGTACTGCGAAAGAGCTCTGGAGAGGACCCTGCAGAACGGTGGCAGGGAGGTGAAACCCTCCAGGATGGAGGTCCTATCGATCCTGATGAAGAATCCTTACCACCACTCCCTGCCGCACTCGATACCTGTACATTTTTTAAACGGAACCTACCAGGTCGTCGGCTTCGACGGCAGCACAACGATAGAGGAGTTTCTGAACACCTTGAACCAAGAGATCGGTTGTCGAGACGTTCACCAGTCTGGTTTCACATTGTTCAGCGACGACCCGATCGAGAAGGACCTGGAGCACTTTATCGATCTTCAAGCGAAGGTATTTGACGGAAAATTTGTAACCGAAGGGTTTTGTAAGCGACATGTTTATCGATCGCGTTCGTTGTAGCTCTGCGATATCATCTCAAAATGGGAGACTGCATTAAGGGAGAAGGGCTCTGGGAAATTCGAAAATACCAGGCTGGTGCAGCTGACGTACAAATCAAGGTGTTACTGGCGACAGGCGGCTAAGATGGAGACCGACAGGGAGAGGCTTCTTCTGTGCTACCAGGTGAACCAGCAGGTTGTGCAGGGCAAGTTTCCGGTGAATCGGGAGCTTGCTTTCGAGCTAGCATCCCTAATGGCTCAGGTACTTTCTCGTCACATTTGGAACAGGTTCGAGATCGTTGGAACGATGTTTGTCATCTACGAAGTTTTTCAGATCGATTTCGGCGAGTATAACAATGACAAGGCTCGAGGGAGTGGACCCGGAAGCAATCCTCATCATCTGGTCCTCCAGGCTCTGGACAAATTCTACCCCATACGATACCGGACAAACATCACTGCCGATCAGTTGAGGCAAGTACAAAAGATTTAGAAGAGGGTACTGGATGGATCTTCCAATAAGAGGTAATTTTGTTGCGCAGGGAACTACAAGAGAGATTACAAGAAAAGTGGATCGGCTTGAAAGGTCGTAGCGTACTAGACTGTGTTCGTATATATTTGACTTGCACCAGAAAGTGGCCTTTCTTCGGAGCTACACTTTATCAAGCAAAGGTGAGCGAGGAAAGAGAAAGCCTCTTTTTCTACAAGGTCGTATCGGAACAATTGTATTTCTTTCCATAGTTAAAACAAGCCGAACCGATAACCGTGTGGATAGCTGTTTCGGAGGACAGTGTAACGTTACTAGAATTACAAACGATGGCAGTCATGTGCCGCTACAATTACGCTAACATAGTTACATTCGGTGGATGTTTAGATGACTTCATGCTCGTCGCCTGCCCTGACGAAGGGGCTGCTGAACAGAAGCTGTTGTTCGCTCTTTCGAAGCCTAAGGTACGTTGATTTTTGTTAGCATCTGGTCCGTTTTAAATATTCACATACTTTTTATATGTTTACAGATTTTGGAAATAACGTTATTGATCGCCGACTACATGAACGCTTTAGGACACGCTTTACCTGGAACACCACAAATGAACACATTAACTCGTAACGGGTCTCACAGATCGATCAAATCCACTCTCAGACCTACCACTGGTACAAATACACTTTCTCTCACCTGTTTATACTCATTTCTAGATATTAATGAAATAATATTTGAATCAGGTTCGAGCTGTCTTCCAACGCAACCGGATATTTTAAAGTCTACGCCAGATCACCAAAGACCTTAAGAAGACTGGTCAATTCAATTCGGTAAAGGAAGCAAGGGAACAGATAGTCGGTTCGTGAAAGTCTGATCTAGCCAAGGCACTAACTTTATACTCGAAGGGTACTACATTCTGTATTATAAAAGAGTCCTCGTGAAAGGAACGCTGCGAGTAAAAAAAAAACAAACGACGCGCGACAGCATGTGCTGTAGTTAATTTTAGTTGCGTTTTTTGTGTAAATTAGAAAACGATGCTTACGAACGACGTACATACTTGTAAATATCCGACAGCATGCGAGGACAGAGACAGATATACGTTCACACATGCGCACGAACACGCAGAGACATTAGACACGGAGACACTGTGTGGTCCACATTATCGAATATGTGGTTGACTGAAATCAATTGAGAAACGATACGCAAACACTGCCTAAAAAGTAACGTTAGTATGTCTAAAGTTACATCGAATAGTTTCGTTTCGGGGGAGAGCTGAGGCGTCGCGCTGAGACTTTTTGCTACCGTATTTATATACCAAATTCGAGGAACGTGTTTAGCGTTAGTGAGAACCTACGTAAAAGCAAGGGCGGTGTATCGTATACTATGTATATAATTAATCAGTTAACTGGATGTTTAGAAGTCTAGCGAGCGATGCAGCGATGTACCTTTGTTTTTTCTACGCAAGAACACATTGAAAGGAAAATTCTTGATTCTTGCCAAAATCGACTGCAACACAAACAAGAACGCACGCGATCGTTGTCAACTTGGGGATGAAGTGTGCAACGGATTCTTTTTTTTCTTTTAAACGCAAGACATGTTTAGACGCAGCAACTGTACCTACTGTCGATGTAAGATTCTACGTTTTCGATTATGAATTGTATGATACGCGATATGTAGCTGTTTCGTTTCGTTGTAGGCCCCTTTTAACATTTTACGTCTTTGAGTATTTTGTAATCTGAATCGTTGGAACGACCGATACTCGGACAGTAAGTACAGACAGTATTGAAACGTAAATCTCGTTAAAGCTCAATCGTATGGGTGAAACAGTTTCTAATGGAATAACGACAAACGAACGGAGGGTTACATTAATTGTCATGTTATTTTAATAACAACTAGTCTCTCATATTTTCTATTTATTTAACGTTTAAGCGAATAAGTTCGTTTTATATAAGGACACGACCAAATAGATGTAAAATGGGAACGCGATTTTTTCTTTGACGATTAGTATATCGTTCCTGCGTAATTGTATGTGCAACAACAACAACAACAATTTTGTACTAATCGAACACGGAGTGATCCCGTTGATACTATAGAAGTTTTGTACGCGCTTGACGTGTCCTACGTAACTAGCAAATGTCTTCCTTCTCTTTAGTAACAAGAAATAAAATAAAGCAAAGTTGAATGTAGGGCTTTCGTGCAATATGTACAAGACTTCTATATAATTTTTGTAATTCCTGGGATAGGCTGAGTATGATTGTGCCTCTCTGAGCAGAGTAGACAAAGTAAATTTTATGCACGGCTTCGTTTAGCGCATTGAAGAATTTATATAAAGAGAAGAAGAATAATGAGAGATGAAAATGAAACGATCGAACCTCAGATTACTGGGAGCAGTACAAAGATATGCAAGAACGACATTTTGTCTTTAATTTTTATAATACGCGATTATAAGAAAGAAAAAAATAATAATGCTACTATTCAGGCGCGTAGCGTCTTTGTATTATGATGCAGTAAAGTCACTGATTCTGTAAATATCACGTTAGGCTTAAGTATCTAATTATAGTAGAACGAGAGAAGAGAAAAACGGACAGCCGAGAAAAATTCAAACAATCGTCATAAAAATTTCCTGCGATCGTCTTTGAGCTGTCCGCGATAATTCTACTGAGCCTACCACCTTACATTTCTATTTATTATTTATTCGCATAAAAATGACGCATAAAGGGCACGAGCGGTGTATAGCAGAAAGCATTGTACTATTGTACAGAAACAAGAAATAAACTGCTCGGATCTGCATTTTAAGAGATTATTTATTCACTTTAGGCAGTAAAAGTCTTGTTACTATAATGATTTCGTATCGCACATGTGCATTATTTATTTTTCGTAGATTCCGCAAATAAATATTTATACATACAATCAATTTACTTCTTCTGGTGTTACTGGATGAGTCAATGGTATTACCGATTTCTTTTTCAAGTCTCGGGAAAGTGCCTTTCTCATGTCTGAAAGGAATGGAGGAAACATTGAGTTTGAAAATTATAAAATACTGTAAAAAGATATTAAACAATTCTATACCAAAAGCATCCTCGTCTGGATCCCCATTATAATATTCTAAAACAGTTCTGTATACAATATACCCTAACTGTTTATACATTTTGATCGCCACCTTGTTGCTGACTCTAACAAAAAGATCTACAAAGTAGGCTTGTTTCCTGAAACAAAATATATTCAACAGATGTTTGTAACCGTAACTCGCTTGCATTAACTCACTTTTCTGAAACCTCTTCAAGGAATTTAATCAGCATTGCAGCTAGGCCTAATCTTCTATAACTAGAAGAGACTGTGAGAGCAGTTATGTGACCATGCCATTCCTCCCTGTATCCCTCTGCCTTTCCCATAACTTTGATAGTTTTCAAAGAAAGCAAATCGCTAAGTTGACTGGTACTCATTCATGAATGTTCGTGTAAATGCTGTAGAACTTACTGTAACCCATAATTTCTCCACTTGGTGATTCTGCCACTTGAAAATACTCGGGCCAATGGGCCAAATAATGCGTATAAAAAGAGAGTCCATACTAGAGTACGAATGTAAGGAAAATTTCGAGTTAGTAATACCATATTTATAAGATACTAAACAATTGTCTACACACAAAGGTAAAAGGATACAGTTTCCGTCAACGGATCCAAATTCCTGGAAAACAAGATATTTTTCAAAGTATGATTACATTATTACATTTATGTCTAGGTTAGAAACGCTACTGTTTTATTTATTTACTTACACGGTATTGAATATGAACAAATCGTTACAAGTGAAAGGCCTAAGAGTCGTCATGTTTAAAAACTGTAAACTGTATTTAAGAGGAACGTATAATAAACGTAACTATCACCACAATTTAACAAATATAAACTCCATGCAATTTCCGTACGAGAGAGCGGGCTGATCGGACAACATAGGTTATAAACGTAAAAAGAGCGCCATTAACGGCAGCGGCAAAACGCTCAGATTGGTAGACAATTTTACCGACAGGCGAATACAGTTACAGATTTAAAAGAGACGTTTGAATATACACACCATATGTATTTGTGGTTTACAAATCATAAAACGTGTCATAATACAAATACGTGACTTTACGGATTCAGCAAGTTAGTATCTGCTGTACGGATTTCGTCGTTGGTAATATAATAGAGATGTGTAGCTGCTTCATAAATACGAGATGAAGCCACCGGAGATTTCAATTCGAAATGAAAAAGAAACTCAATCCAAATAGAAACATTCTCTGAATGCACGAGAAATGCAGTGACATTTTCTTCTAACTTTTGAACCATTGAAGGTATTGCAATGAAATTTTCACTAAAAATGTTTAAAAATAATCATTCTTAACTTTAGGTAATTAAATATCTTTTGCAATTGTTAAGCAATACTTTTTAATCAATTTTGATTGATATTTTTGATAAATATGGAAAATAAATCTGGAAAACAGTTTTTGATGTATGTATGTGGTATAAATTGAATGATACGTAGCAGACTATTAAATTCGTTCCAAAAACGTTATTGTCTTATGAATATCAAAAAATAAAAATTAATTTGATCTTGAAATCCTCCCTACTATTTCCCTTACAAAAAGGATTAGTTATACTATACATATAATGTCTCCCTTTATACCAAAACTGTCTTTTGTAAAACTAATTTGTTGATAACTTGTAACAGAATAACCAACAGTCGAACTTGGCTACCAGATTGAGCGTTTTGACACTACATAATTTGGCGCTGTATGAATTCTTATCATAGCTTCTTGATTTGCCCGTAAGAAGCGCCACTATCATTCCAGCAGCAATTGATTCGTACCGAATCTTACATTGTATCTTATGGTGAATAGCGGCAAAAATCATCTGTTATCTTTATTTTTAACAATTTATACGTGGAAAGTGTATAATAAATAATTAATTGCAATACTTTAGAGCTTAGTTAAAGCAATCTCCTAAAGTCTTGTTAGTCTTCTCTCCTTTGATTATATTTGTTGAACATCGGTACTTCTAAGCGCTACAAGTGGAAAAAATCTGCACTTTTGAGTACTGTCGGTCCAAAAGATCCGTACTTTTGAACACAGAAATCAGGCAAGTGTGTATTTCTGAGCGCTACGATAACGAAAAAAAAAGAATCAAGAAAACAATTAGGAGAACGGTAAGGAAAAATATGAGGAAAAGATCGGGAAAGGAATAAAAAAACGACCACGAAAGAGATCACAAAAAGACCAGGGAGTGGACCACGAATCTAAAAACATTTTCCTCGATCTCAAAGAGGCGAACCGCTGGAACTCTTCGAAGCTTTCGGAGGGTCCGTCACGAGCATGAGTCAAAAGGAAAACTGGCAGTTTACAGAAACGTGTCTCTATTTACGCACTTGGAAACTGCCACTATTGCAAAGTTACTAGATGTCTACGAGATTTGGACTTTACTGATAATTGTAACATCGCCTCCCTCCGCGATTTTCTATAATACGGAAAAATAAATAGACGGTGTAAATAATTACATTTATTTGTTTATCAATTTTACAGAATAACAGTGTATACGATACGCTGAATATAGAATAATCTCTGCTCTTTATCCTTTACTAATTAAGGCGATTAGTATGTGAGTGATCGGTAAGAACATACAATAATATAGCACGTGTAATTTATTGGTCATCGGTGATCACGGTCCTTTATTGTTCGCGTCGAACGATTCTTCTTTTAATCTATTAATTCTCTCTCTTTCTCTCACCCCCCCCCCTTTCTCTCTATCTCACTTTCTCTCGATACTTCGCTACGGTTCGTCTCTGCAGAGATATCGTTCGCCCGTTATCTCGCGCGTTCTAGTTTCGTTTCGCGGGCGGTAACGCAATAAATCTCCATCGAGTACCATGTAACGATCGTTGCGTCGCGAAGACACTTGTTATTCCTATGTACTCGTGCGGATAAGGCCACAGATAGTGTTTTCTTCCGCGTGTGCGTGTGCGCGCACACGTCCGGTATGCGTGCGCGGGTGCGTCGGAGGCTTCGCCTCTCCGATCTCTCCATCGTTTTCGGATAAATAATATCGGGTTCGTGTGCAGAGTCGCGATTACTTCTCACGGAGAAAATAGAGAACGCGCGCGCCTCCGATTCTTCCGAGTCACCCGGGCTCGGTCAAGGTTCCGGAAGCGAATCGGTTACTCGAACGCCTGGATTCTCGAAGTTCTCGATCTCGGTATCACAAGAGACAAGCTCTCGGCTCGCAGGGATCCAGCCGTGATCCCGAACGATTAAGACGATCTCGACCGATCGCAGGTCCCGCAGGAGAACGCTCGGAGGTACGAAACGGGTTGGAATCATCGCTAAGAACTGTCCACACGAGCCCACACTTCCAGTTAATCGTTTATTAAGTTGCACGATCGCGGCACGCATCGTACGCGGTACATGATCGCCGAGCGAGTGACAAATAGCCGGCGGGCTCGCGTACGACGCGCACTCCCGTGTAAACAGCGTACACATGTATTCTATCCGCGTGTGGTATGCGCGCGTGTGTGTGAGTTTAAGTTAAATAAAAATAACATTATTCGTTATACGTATATCAAATTTAGTTTCCATAAGAATATATAGGATTCATCTTCGTTTTTTTCCCCGCGTTGGTCGCGATCGTTCCTCGCCGGCGCGCCACTCTCTACCATTGTACAAAGCGAAAGGAAAAGAAACGAGAAACGAAAGGAAAGAAAAGTAAAACAATAACGTTAATAATATAACAATCACGACGGCACGGGTACGGTAGCTTCGTTCTTTCTCTAATTCAACATAGACGTAACAACTCGGCGACAGTGATTCATTTACAATTTAAGGCGGTTTGATTCTCGGTTCTTATCGAGCCATCACCTCGTTCTTCCTCACCGAAGCACCGTCGGTCACCGACGGTCACCACGATGACGAAGGAGTCGAGATCTCGAACGACTACGGTCTCTCTAGAACTACGTGGCTGGGAAACGTCCCCGCGAGGCAATCGTCGCGGGCTGATCGTCCCAGAGGGTTCGGGGTGTCGACGAAAAGTACCGCGTTCTCGGCGGTGGTTGTTAGAGGCACGTGCATATACATAATACACCTTCGTTTCTCGAGAGTGAATGGCCGAGGATGGGGAGGGGGAAGGAACACGGTAATTTTGATCGTGGGTTCTCCCTGGTTTCGAGAACGGTGAACGATTTTGAACGAAGCTTCCCGCGGTTGGACTCCACCGTGGCTCCTCTCGATCGCGTTTTCGGGAAACGAAGCGTGGTTCTCGTTCCAGGGGATGATCGCGGGGCGAGGGTAGTTATCGATAATCGGTCGTGCTTCTTCTCCGCTCTTCGTTCTTCGTTCCTATCGACCGACGCCAAGAAATTCTGGCCCGCTTACATCAGCTTCATCTTGGCGCACTCCGGGCAGATGATGTCTTCGTGGTCGGTGATGAAACCACGGCCGACCAGCGAGGTTTTGCAGCCCGCGCAGATGAAACAGTCGTTATGCCAGTGCCTGTCCTCGAAAGAGATGAAGCGAGTGCCGCCGATGCCTGCAGATCGAACCAAGTTTCTCAGTGAACCTGTCGCCATTCGACCGTGGATCTTTATGCGTTTGCGGTGCAGTAAGAAAAAGCGCAAGAAATCTAATGCTCCGTTTACCGGCTTCGACGGGACACGCCGCGAGAATCTGCATAAAGATCTACGATTCGATTCTTATTTCTAGAGATCTGTTACCAGTGATCGGTTTGGAGCATGCGGTGCATCTCTTGGCGAACAGCTCGCCGAAGCAATCGGCGCAGTAGGGCTTGTCGTCGCGGGAAGTGAATCGCTGGCCAGCCAGGGAATTGTTGCAGTTGCTGCAGGTGAAGCAGTCTCTGTGCCACGGCTCGTTCTTGTACGTCACGCCGCCGCTAGTGATGATCTGCAAAGGATTACACCCCCTTCTGTAATCTGCTTCCGACGCGGACGATCGTTCCGCGCGAACGAAACCGATGGAAACAATACCTTGTTGCACTTGACGCATCGCGTGGCGAACTTGTCCTCGTAGCAACCGGCACAGTAGATCTCCTGCTCCCGCGGGATGAAGCTCTTCGTACCAATCGGGTTCTTGCAGACCACGCAGCAGAAGCACTTCTCGTGCCACTGTCTCGTCTTGTACTCCATCTTCTTCGTACCTGCAACGCGAGAGACTTCGTTGAACCGCCTGTCGAACTTTAGACAACGTCGAAGTTGATCGACTGGAAATTGTGCCGGAACACTAGAAAGTCGATTTAGACAGGGTAGCCAAAGCACGCACCCCCTTTCCATGTTTCTATAATGTCACAAAGTAGCTAACTCGAACCTAACTGGACTTTAGCTCTTCCAATTGCTAAAAGAAGCTCAGGCGAGTTCAAGTTTTGTAACATTTTAAGATAAAGAGTCGTGTCCCCGTTGTCACGTGTTTAGGTCGCAGGGGATGTTAACCCTCGATTAACAGCTCCCGTCCCTGGCTGACCCTACTTCCAGCGAGCAATTGCATTTCTTGTTCAACTGCAGGAAATAACAGCGCCGGAAGGGCGGAATATTTAACCGGAGTCTAGACAATACAGGGTGGGTTACGGACTTGCGTCGACTTGCTCGAGTCTAGACGATCGCGTGAGGCGCCCGACGAGGCGAACTTTGCTCGCGTGCCTGCTCGCACGTTCGCCTCGCACCGGCAATTCCCGGGGGATGAATTTCCCGGCGGCGCTTCCAAGGAAAACAAATCTTCCGGTTCGAAGCTCTCGCGGTTAATCTCTTCGCCTTCATCGCGGATGGTATATTCGGCGTGTCTATCGATCGCTGCCCCCTAGCCTGACACGCTGTACAATTGCTGTCGTGTGGCACTTTGGGGGCAAAGCAAACCACAAAACTCCTTACACGGACGCGGAGTTAAGACTGGGTCTTCCGTACCCGGCCTAATGACCGATAAGAGAAGGCGTTGGTTTACCCACGTTCGGACCCCTCGCAGGTGTTCCGTCGGGGGGTGGGTACTAAATTTCTTGTGTATGCCAGACCTGGCGAGGAAACATANGAAATCTAATGCTCCGTTTACCGGCTTCGACGGGACACGCCGCGAGAATCTGCATAAAGATCTACGATTCGATTCTTATTTCTAGAGATCTGTTACCAGTGATCGGTTTGGAGCATGCGGTGCATCTCTTGGCGAACAGCTCGCCGAAGCAATCGGCGCAGTAGGGCTTGTCGTCGCGGGAAGTGAATCGCTGGCCAGCCAGGGAATTGTTGCAGTTGCTGCAGGTGAAGCAGTCTCTGTGCCACGGCTCGTTCTTGTACGTCACGCCGCCGCTAGTGATGATCTGCAAAGGATTACACCCCCTTCTGTAATCTGCTTCCGACGCGGACGATCGTTCCGCGCGAACGAAACCGATGGAAACAATACCTTGTTGCACTTGACGCATCGCGTGGCGAACTTGTCCTCGTAGCAACCGGCACAGTAGATCTCCTGCTCCCGCGGGATGAAGCTCTTCGTACCAATCGGGTTCTTGCAGACCACGCAGCAGAAGCACTTCTCGTGCCACTGTCTCGTCTTGTACTCCATCTTCTTCGTACCTGCAACGCGAGAGACTTCGTTGAACCGCCTGTCGAACTTTAGACAACGTCGAAGTTGATCGACTGGAAATTGTGCCGGAACACTAGAAAGTCGATTTAGACAGGGTAGCCAAAGCACGCACCCCCTTTCCATGTTTCTATAATGTCACAAAGTAGCTAACTCGAACCTAACTGGACTTTAGCTCTTCCAATTGCTAAAAGAAGCTCAGGCGAGTTCAAGTTTTGTAACATTTTAAGATAAAGAGTCGTGTCCCCGTTGTCACGTGTTTAGGTCGCAGGGGATGTTAACCCTCGATTAACAGCTCCCGTCCCTGGCTGACCCTACTTCCAGCGAGCAATTGCATTTCTTGTTCAACTGCAGGAAATAACAGCGCCGGAAGGGCGGAATATTTAACCGGAGTCTAGACAATACAGGGTGGGTTACGGACTTGCGTCGACTTGCTCGAGTCTAGACGATCGCGTGAGGCGCCCGACGAGGCGAACTTTGCTCGCGTGCCTGCTCGCACGTTCGCCTCGCACCGGCAATTCCCGGGGGATGAATTTCCCGGCGGCGCTTCCAAGGAAAACAAATCTTCCGGTTCGAAGCTCTCGCGGTTAATCTCTTCGCCTTCATCGCGGATGGTATATTCGGCGTGTCTATCGATCGCTGCCCCCTAGCCTGACACGCTGTACAATTGCTGTCGTGTGGCACTTTGGGGGCAAAGCAAACCACAAAACTCCTTACACGGACGCGGAGTTAAGACTGGGTCTTCCGTACCCGGCCTAATGACCGATAAGAGAAGGCGTTGGTTTACCCACGTTCGGACCCCTCGCAGGTGTTCCGTCGGGGGGTGGGTACTAAATTTCTTGTGTATGCCAGACCTGGCGAGGAAACATATCTGCGCCACTTTCGCGGTGGCCAGATTTGCAATAAATGTCTATCGATCGCTTCCGGCTTGCTTCCGAAGAAGTCATCGAAAGCAACTTTCCTGGCGGCCTAGAAACTTTCCACGGACAGGTGCAAAAACTCCCGCGAGACCGGAAGATCCCCGGCGAAGATACGCGCGCGTCGTCTCCTGCAATGCGGTTTTCAAGTTTCGCCCGCGGAACTTTCTAGTCACGGCTGCTGCTAATAACCTACATGCGACTGCCCCCTATTCAGCCGGGAGCGTAAACCGATCGATGTGTCGAACGACGATCACGATCGTCGCGAAGCTACAAGACAGTCGAAGTTCTGCAGCGATAAAATGCACGCGATAGTTACGAGAATTGGAACGACCGAAGGAGGAAAAGCCCGACGGATGCGCGGATCTTTAGGATCGGTCACGATCGACGGAATTACCCGGCAGAAGCCCGTTGTCGGCCCGATGGTAATTGCTCGGCGATCGCGATGGATCGTTTACTCCTACGCGACCTCTGGTTTTCGATCATCTCCGCGGTACCGTTTCCATATCTAGGCGGTGATTAATCGTGGAGGGATATGGAAGCCGCGTTTATGGTCACGAAGTAGCGTAGTCATTCTATTATTTGCCTGCGTGGCTTACTTCTGTGTGAACGGTACGTTAACTTCGTTGCCGAAGAACGAAATACCGAAGAGTAAATAAAGAAGTTCAACTGTGAATCGAAAATAATTTTTCTGTTTTATAATATTCCGATTTCACACGTCAAAGTGCATTTTATGCACACGAGACGCATGCTTGCGACTTAATAACATAACTAAATAACTTAACGAAAATAATAATAAGTAATAATAATAATAAATAAATAACTTAACTAAATAACTTCACATTAAATAAAGTTATTTCAATTAAGTTACTCGTAAGTTTATTCATTAAGATCCTTAAAAATTTTTTTAATCTAAATTTTGATAACATTAAAATTATCGTGATAATTTAAAAAAATATATCGCGATCTCAGACTCATCATTCGAGTGAAAAAGGTTAATTCCACGCAGTCTTTCTCGATCGACGTCCAGTTTAGGCGACGCGGTTGAGAAGCGAATAATCGACGTTCGTGGGCGTTGATCACTTCTCCCGCTCATTAACTTCGCCAGCTTTCTCTCTCTGTCTATCTCGCGCGCCAAGGGCACCTCGAATTAATAACGATCCGCTATTCTGGAAGGTGATCTAACGGGGCCTAAACAGCCGGAACGAAATAATCAGCGTGGAAGATGTCCCGCGTGAGTCACGGCCACAAACACCTTCTTTCGACACCTACCATCTCGATGTTTAACTTATTGAGGATATTGTTGATCCTAGTCCCCATCGAATCGTTATACAGGATGTCCCAAAATTGTGATACTTCTGGGAAATTAGAGAATACTGTGTGTGAGGTCATTCGAAGCAACTTTTTCCTTTACAAAAATTTTCTCCGATGCATCGTTAACGAGTTATTAACGAAAAACACTGACCAATGAGAGGCGAGCTCGGTCGGCGCGAAGCGGCCCAGCCAACGAGCGCACGAAGTCCAGTTCCGCTCATAGGCTCGGCCGCCTAGCGCCAGGCGAGCTCGCCCCTCATTGGTCATTGTTTTTCCTCAATAACTCGTAAACGATGCCTCGAAAAAAATTTCTGTAAAGGAAAAAGTTACTTCAAATCAGCTCAGGAACTCCTCATTTTCCGGAAATACCATAATTTTGGGACACCTCGTACTAGAAGCTCTGGTAGCAGGAGACTTCAACCGCGACGCTAAGAGCGACAATGTCAACATTGACGAGTTCCAGCGCATCCTGACTCATTGCTGTATTCGCGAAATATGTTCCCCGAGTTTCCGCGAGGCTTTCGTGACACATCGATTTACAGTTGAAACCACCACGGGGATAGAGATAAAGTTCGGATGAAATGTTTGCCAGTCGATAAAACAATCGATGTTATATCGCCGGCACCGATAAACATCGAAATACGTCGTCTTACTCGCCGAGCAAACATTGGACTGCAATAGAGCGATGACTGGGTGCAATGAAACGCGGGAACCAACGATCTGCTATCTATTATACGTTGCTGCAGGTCGGTATGCCGCAAATCGTTCTCGACAGGGGGGACTCGATAAAACGGCGTACAAAATCCTAGCGCGTTGAATTAAAGCTGCAAGAATTTTCCAGCGATCGGTAGCTTAATCCTTTGCGAACGAGAATTTTTTAAGTACAGTAAATTCTCTCCAATTGTCCCACAGCTTGGAAACAGAAATGGACAATTTGGGAGTCGCCGATTGTCAACTACTATACAAATGAGTAATGAATAAATGAGCAAATAATGAATAAGTAAATGAACAATCGTATCCCCTCTTCCAAAATTGTCCGTTCTTGTTTACAAGCTGCGGGACAATTGAAGAGAATTTACTGGACTAAGAATATTTTCCTCTGAAAACTACGTTATGTATCTTTGGTACATAATGTTCAGAAACATAGAACAACTTATGGATATGTTATTGAGCTTAATCGTGTTTTTTCTATTGTTTCTTCTCTATTCTTTTATCGATTTTTTCAATCA